GGTTGCGTACTTGATTTAGTTGGCTTTTAAAATATTCAAATTGAGATAAAAACAAACACAGAAAAGAAAAACAAACAGACAAGAGGCTCGAGGTCGTTCCCGCCTAATAAAAGAAAAATAAAAATACTACGAGTTCCACTTTAGGCCTCCAAATACAAGTACTTCGAGGCATACCCCGGATAGAATATATACAAATCCTTCGGGGTATTTTTCAGATAAATTTAACTAAAGGAAACGACCTCTCACCTCGAAACCAAAGGCAAATGAAAAATACAAAAATTGCCTACCCAAGTGTTGACGGCCTAGGCATGCTCCTAACGCTATAACCAAAAAACAAACAATGAATACTACAATATTAACGTTGCTTCTTTTAATCTGACGCTAGTTTAACCAACGATTCATCGCCTTAATTCCTTCAGTTAATCAAAACATACTCAACTAAAGAATGGCATGAACACACAGAGATTAAAAATAGGGCAAAAAGACGTGTTAAAATGCAAATAACCAAGCTGATTCAATTAAAATGGGCTTTGAATTATATCCTCCGTCAATTTTTCACTCATTCTTACAACCTAACCACTAATATTTCATACACCTCAAGAGATTGGAATTAGACGTTTTCAAGAAGACGACTTGGGGTGTTCGGAATTAGTAGAATATGCTGTTTGTTTTGTGTAAAATCAGTATCACAAATAAATCAAATTTAACACATGCTAACACCACTGAAAATTATTAAATCAGTGAAATTAAAAGCGAAATGCCCCACTTTACAATGTAATAGAATATAGCAACAAAGAGGAAAGTTTAGAATAGATCTCAAGCAATTACAGTAACGCAACATGAACCGGAATCGAAACTCGACAGACGAAACCTCACCAAACAAGAATTCATGATACGACTGTAATTTAAATCGGAAAGAAACTCGGATGGAGCAACGGTCCACACCTCAAATGGACTTCGAACGACAACCTTAGGAATCTACTGATCGAGCTTAAAGAGAAGCGAAGTAGGAGCAATAGGAAAGAATCATTTGTTTCGTGCCCTCTCTGACACCTCTCTGTTTTTGCCGTCCTCGTGTGTGTGTTGCGGCTGAAGGTGGCGGAGTTAGGGTCACTAGGCGGCGGGTCTGGTGAGGTGAAGGGTGGATGTGTTCGAAGTTAAGGGGTGGTGGGTTCTTTTCCGCTGGTGCTCGATGTCTTAGGTTAGGTCTTTCTTCTTGTTTCCTTATACGTATTTTGGTTTTGGTCCTCCCCTCTTTCAGAAGAAGGTAACGGTTGTTTTGTGTGTTCTTTAGGGTTCTGGTAGTGCTCTTGGTTCTTTCTCCGATTTTTTTAGGGGTGTTCAAGGGTTTAAGAGGAATGGGAGATGGGTTAGGTCTTGTTGGGCTTAAAAAATTGGGCCCCTTGCAAGAATTCAATTTGGGCTAAAAATTCTATATAATTGTGCTAAGAAAAGGCTAAAAATTTAATCTACTTCTAAAAATACTTATAAGAAGATACAAGTAAAACTAAAAATTAAAGTTGAAATTATTATAATAAACTATTATATTTAAAATAGAACTAAAATTAAAGCTGAAACTATTTTTGGTATTTTCAAAGATTATATCAAAATAAAATAGGTTCAAAGTAACCTATCTTTCTAAAAATATCTAATACGTGAATTAAATAGAGAAATATGGAACTGTTTTTTTCGTATTTTTTAATTTTGTGATAAAAATAATGTAAAAGAGTCAAACTTAGTTGAAATTACTATATTAGACCTAAACTAAGTATTTAAATGATAAAAATATGTAAAATCTTGGGGATGGTAAAAAATCACATGTCTACAATCTCTGTGAGAAATCCTTACAATTTGATGAAAAAGCTGAATATCACTAGGAATCCTTGGATTTCGATTACGAAGACGGCGTTGACGGCTACGTTGACGATGATGATATACAGTTACAGGGAATCCTCTTAAACTTGGCACAAACTTATAACTCCTCAATTGATGAGAAGTTGGAATTCGATTTTACTAACAAGACAAACCTTGACGACATTAAGAAAAAAGGCGTTGATGTATCAAAAACTTCAGCTTATATAGTTGACGATGATGATATATAGTTACAGGAAATCCTCTTAAACTAGGCACAAACTTATAACTCCTCAATTGATGAGAAGTTGGAATTCGATTTTACTAAAAAGACAAACCTTGACGACGTTAAGAAAAAAGGCGTTGACGTACCAAAAACTTTTTCAAAAACTTCAGCTTATATACTGCTGAAATTTTTATAAATGAACTAAATAACTTCAGCATCTTCTGCTGAAGTTTTTGAAAAAGCTTATCCAGGACAAAAAAACTTCAGTTTATTTAGTGCTGAAATTTTTATAATGAACTAAATAACTTCAGCATCTTCTACTGAAGTTTTTGAAAAAGCTTAATGGCAAAACAAATGAATCTACGATAAAAAAAAACCTTCAGCTTATTTAGTGCAATTACAAACAAAAACTTCAGCAAATAGAGAACAAAACTTCAGCTACTATGTTTAAGTTCAGCAATTACAAACAAAAACTTTAGCAAATAGGGAACAAAACTTCAGTTACTATGCTTAAGTTCAGCAATTACAAACAAAAACTTCAGCAAATAGAGAATAAAACTTCAGCGACTATGCTTAAGTTCAGCAATTACAAACAAAAACTTCAGCAAATAGAGAATAAAACTTCAGCGACTATGCTTAAGTTCAGCAATTACAAACAAAAACTTCAACACACTTAGTTCAACACACTTGCTACTTTAGACCCATCTACTAGAATGCTGAAGTTTTGCATGATTGTCTTGCTACTTTAGCCCCGTATGCTGAAGTTACGCGAAAAAGTGGGTACGCTTGCAATTTTTTTTGCAAAGCGAGCACAAGTCAAAACGTGACCCAAAAAGCGGGTATAGATGCAAATGCCCTTGTCTTGTACCCGAGTGGAAATGATGGGCATTTGCATATATACATGCTTTTTGGGTCACGTTTTAATTTGTGCCCGCTTTACAAAAGAAATTGCAAGCGTACCCACTTTTTCGCTTAACTTCAGCATACAGGGCTGAAGTACCAAAGGCAATCACGCAAAACTGCAACATTCTAGTAGACAGCTGAACCAAGTGTGCTGAAGTTTTTGTTTGTAATTGTTGAACTTAAGCATAGTAGCTGAAGTTTTGTTCTCTATTTGCTGAAGTTTTTATTTGTAATTGCTGAACTTAAGCATAGTAGCTGAATTTCAGCACTAAATAAGTTGAAGTTTTTTTGTCCTGGATTCATTTGTTTTGTCATTAAGCTTTTTCAAAAACTTCAGCAGAAGATGCTGAAGTTATTTAGTTCATTTATAAAAACTTCAGCACTAAATAAGCTGAAGTTTTTTTGTCCTGGATTCATTAGTTTTGTCATTAAGATTTTTCAAAAATTTCAGCAGAAGATGTTGAAGTTATTTAATTCATTTATAAAAATTTCAGCACTAAATAAGCTAAAGTTTTTTTTGTCCTGGATTCATTAGTTTTGTCATAAAGCTTTTCAAAAACTTCAACAGAAGATGCTGAAGTTATTTAGGTCATTTGTAAAAACTTCAGCACTATATAAGCTGAAGTTTTTGAAAAAGCTTTCTAACATACTAGATAAATAATCAGATTGCCAACATTAACTAAATCATAAAGTTTGGAAACAATAAACGTGAAAAGAACAGAATTATCATGAAAAGAATCACTAAGTGTGATCTTAAACTTCCCGTACGTGAAAATATTCACAAATTATTATCTACTAACTTACGTAATTATTTATAATTTATTTTTAAATAATTTGATAAACATACTTATGGCAATCATCCCATGAACTGAAGTTTCATAGCAACACCAGTAGCAGCAGAAAGAAGAAGAAGAAGAAGAAGAAGAAGAAGAAGAAGAAGAAGAAGAAGAAGAAGAAGAAGAAGAAGAAGAAGAAGAAGAAGAAGAAGAAGAAGAAAACGAAGGAGGAGAAGGAGGAGGAGAAAGGGGGCTGAAGTTGTTTAAAAAGTGGGTACCGTTAAAACATTTTAAAAAAAATAGGTATAGGCTAAATAGAGGCGACCAAATAGGGTGTCCCGTGCAATTTTTACGGAAATGACACCAGTTTGACACTTTTTAAACATGCTATTTAAAATTTACAGTTTATAATGTATTTTAAAATTAGTTAATTTCGCTCAAACTTCACGACACGACGTCCGAGAGTTTAAACCTCAAAATTCAAACTACAGGACATCGTGTCCTAAAGTTCAAAAATTGTGTCCAGAAGTTCAAATCTTATGTCCTGAATTTTAAATTAGTTGTTCAGAAATTCAAGACACTTAGTTCTGAATTTCAAATTAGCAGCGCAAAAATTCAGGACACTAAGTCCTGAATTTCTAAATTCGGAATACTTAGTTTTGAATTTTGGGTGAATTGGCTAATCTTTAAATACATTGTAAATTGTGAATATATTTCAAATAGCGGGCTTAAAAGTGGCTATTGCTGCACTTTGTCCTCTACTCGAAGCCCAATAAGTTCAGGAGTTTGACTAATTTGATTTAAGAGGCATATGTTTTTTAAGTGATTGAAAATAATTGGAGTAATTCTTAATTTTTTTTTGGTTCACTTCTTATAATAAAAATGTATATGGTTATGCTCCATTCTTTATAAGTAATCATGCAAAGATTTAAACCAAGATTTTGTGATCATTCGGAAGATGTTTCACAGCTTTTAGTAAAAATAAAAATAGGGCTCTCGAATATGTTCAATTACAAGGACCGAAAAATGAATACTTGTGAAATTTACCTCATTTTTTACTAGGGAGATAGCCTTGATGTTAGGGTGAGAGTTGAAGAAGTTCTGTATATAACTTAAATCATTGTCAATAACTTTAGTTAGGACACTAAAGTTGATTAAAAAAAATATTGGTCTTTCACTACCAAATATTTTAATTTTCTATTCAGGATATACCCAGTCTCAAAAGTATATATCAGATGAAATCAAATAAAGAAATCGGAATTTATTTCCACAAGCTCCATATTACAATTCAATAAGGATACAACTATACAAGAATTCAATACTCAAATAAATACACTCACAAATTCCTCTCAAACTTTACAAACACAGACTTCAAGCGTTCGCTTTTTATTCTTAAAAAAACTATTAATCCCACAAAAGAATAATAACAAGAAAATACAATTCAAAATAAATCAAACGACGAATTACAATACACAAAGCCTGTGAAATTATTGCCATTTCATCACCTAATTAACAAATCTGCAGTCACGCCTTATTTCTTGACCAGAACCACTAATACTACTCATTTTAATCATTGAATTAGCAAAAGCTTTAAAAAACTCATTTTGAGAATTGGCAAAAGTAGAAACTAAATTTTTGGTTCTTGAATTTGTGAGCAAAGTAGAATCTGAAGAGAAAAGACCCTTATTCTGCAATACTAACTTGTAATATACGTTGTCGAATAAAAATGTCGTAGAATCTAAGGTAGAGCCTGCATTTTTCACTGTGTTTTTAATGGGACATACTTTCTTTAACGTAGCTGCAAATGATGTTTCTAATGTTGGGTCAACGTCGTTTTTCTTATCGAATTTGTGGATTCTGTTTTGGAAAGATGAACAATGAGAGAATCCTAAAGTGTGTCCTCCTGAACATAAAAAAAAAAAAAAAAGATTAAAAAATCAATGCACCGATAATGTAAAAGAAAATTTGTCAGACCACTTGTAAAACAATTGTAGATACCTATATTTAATAAATAGTGATTAGTAATCTAAAATAAATGATAAGTAACTTGAACTTGCTACCGTCAATAAGTTAAATTACAATAATGGTGTAAAAATTTATTTTATCGTGTAAATAAATAAAATCAATTAATTTTTAGTTTCAACTAACTCAGAAGAGACTTATATATGTCTATACGAACTAATGGTGTAAAAAATATTTATACAGTCACACCATATAAAATATACTTGCAAGTAACTTTATGTTATGTGCATTGACTTTAACCTAGAATAAATAAAAATTAACTTTATGTTATATATATATAAATATATATAAAACTTAAATCCATAATTTTTTTCTTTTACTAATAGAGTGTGTTTACCTGAAAGTGCAACTAAATCATCCAAAGAAAGACCTCTTTGAGAGAAGCTTTGTTGCAATTGAGAAATATTGAAAGTTGGAGGAGGTAATTGCTGCGTTTCACTAGCCTTAGAAATTCGTCCATCTTTTCTACCTTTTGGCACTTCCCAATTAGGTCCTCCAGACTAAAAAAAATAAAAATTGAGCCAATAAATAATTAAAATATTAGTACTCTTGACTCTTCAAAACCTCTAAAATCAAACTTATAATTCACTTCAATATGAACATAATTAGTCTAAATATTTTGAAAGTAAATAATTAGGATGAAGTTTTGGTTGTAGTAATTAAGACTCACAAGTTTAACAGCATCTCTAGCTGCAAGAGCTAAAATATCAGCACAGGAGACAATTCCAGGGCACATATTTTCGATTTGTTTCTTAGCAACGTCAATAACATAGAAAGCATGCAGTGAAATATTAGGAGGTCCATCTTTCTCTGCTTGGTTATTTTTTGTCGAATTCAGCAGCACAGAACCATCACAACCCTGCCATAATAAAAACATCATAAGTTAAATAATAACCACCATAATAAGTATGTCCTAAGATTACACCATAAAATGAGCATAGTAAAAGAGAGTGCATATTTTCGCTATTTCGTTTAAGTTATATGCACTGATAATGTAGAAAAAATATATTATACAATCAGGTTATTTGTAAGATAGTTATGGATAAATCACTCTAAAATGACATAATAATAAAAACTATGATGCTGCAATCCCAAAGTCAAGCTGGGGTCAGATGCGGCTCAATAGTACGGGAGGTTTAAAGTCAAGACGTGATAAGAGACCTTAAACTTGTTTAATAATTTTAGATATATTTGTTGAAGTTTATTTTTATTTTATTTTTTGAGATGCAGTTTCATCTTGACGATGTAACCAACCTCCTTTAATCTTTGTTGAAATATTTACTAACCTTTGATAAGATTTTAAGTTTAATTTTGAATTTTTGCTTTTCACATGACCGTCAACATAACTTACTATATGACATTGCCTCATAAAGTAACAATCATGTAGAAATTTATATTTACAAAGATGATAAGTATTTTATGATCTAATTAGTTTGAAGCGTTCCGACAGAGATCTTGAAAGAAAATATCTTATAAAGTTAGAGTTGTAAATAAAATTATTCAAGTTGGAGTAAGAAAAAAAAACTAGAAAGTAACTGCAGATTTAATTGTCTTTCACTTTCATTTGAATTTTCTCAACCAACTCTGAAAAAGACAACATAAAATATAAAACTATGTTATTAACGATCGGTGACAAGGTAGCAAAAGATGGTTGAAAAAAATTCTTATCACTATTTAATAACAAATGCAATTGATATTTAAATTACACATAAAAATATTAGCTTTTGGGGCCTTTAATTTTGTGAGGCCTAAAGCGGCCGCTTTAGTGGCCTGGGGGTTAAGCCGCCTCTGGCTGGGGTCGTCATATGAACATGTTGCGCCATTTAAGCTCATCATAGGTTACAACAAGTAGATATCTATGATAACCGTTAATTAGTAACCAGATAAAAATGGTAACGAGCATGTTGTATATTATACGTTAATATAAATTGCGACGATCGTGTAGAACTTTACAGTATCAATATACATAACTTACACAACGATTGATGTATAAGAGTATAAGTAATTTTACCCTGACGAAACAATCATGGAAATGCATCCTTAAAAGAGCAGCTGGAACTGTTTTGTCATTCCACATAGCTTTTCTTACAACTTGGGTGATAGTTGACTCAGCATCTGGACATGTTTTGTCATAGTAATTGGAGCTTAGGGCATTCACACATGAAAATAGCACAAAAACAATTGCAAAAGCAACAAGAAATTTTTGTAATGCCATCACAATAATCAAAGATTGATCAAACCCTATGTTTGTTTGTGCTTTTTTGAGTGTGAGAGTTAAGGCACTGTACGAGGAGCATTTAAAGGGTAGACAAGAGGGAAAGAGACAGTAGGAATAGTTGTTATTGGAATCTAATCATATGTTTGTTAGCAAGTTTGGTAATCTTAGGACCAATGATTAAATAGAGTGACAATATTGAAAAAGGAGTTGTTTGTCACATTTTTATTTAATTCTTGTTTATGAGGCATAATCATTTTTCTTAAGATAGAATATGATCCCAGTTCCAATAATCACCTATTTTAATTTTGTTGGCAACTCAGATACAAAGGGGTAAACCAATGGTTGCTTAATCCCCACATGGGAATCAAGTTTAACATAACTTTTATTTAATTCTGTATGAGGTATGTTCATTTTCTTAAAGCCAGAATTATTTAGGAACTCACTAAGAAAGAGGACCAAATCGATTAGGGGCAAATGGGTGTCTCTTATGGGCAGGGGCGGATATAGTATATTAATGACGGGTTCAATTGAACCCATAACTTTCGACATAGAATAAAATTTTATATGTAAAAATTGATTAAATTGCAAAAATAGTAAATATGAACCCATAACTTTAAAAATATAATGAGTTCAATGATAAAACCTAAAAAGTTGAACTCACAGAGTTGAAATCATCCGCCTTTGCTTATGGGTTCGTCTCGACCTAATAATTTTGGCTCAAATTTTGTATATATACTAAAATTTTCACTAAAAAGTACAATTAATAAATCTTAAACCCGTTAAGTTAATTGATTATGGTAAAATTAATAACTCGTAACCATAAAATTTAATTCTTGAATCTACTTCTTCAACAAATGGGGGCTGAATTCCCACATGGGAAATTAACCAAATGAGCAATTTGAGTTTTTCATTTTCTTGAAACCAAAAAACGATTCCAGATATCCAACATTAGTGCACCTATTCCAATTTGTGGGCAACTCACTAAAAGAATAACATTAATGGTTTCTCAATTCTCACATGGAAGTCAGCCAATTAAACAAATACCACGTTCATTTGTTAAGCAAGAAACAATTCGAGTTCTCAAATTTAAATCATCCATTTAATTTTTGTTCGCAACTCGATCAGTTAGAAAGAGTAACATCAATGGTTGCTCAAAACATTAAAAGAAGAAATTAAGTTTTTTGGTACGTTTTTAAGACTTCACTTTGGCAATGTAAAGCCAAAGTATAGTGGCAAAAGTTCAAATATCTAGCTAGCTAATCTAGAAATTAAATCGCAGTTAGTCAGATTCTTAAATATATTTTCATTGTCTCAGACTTCCAAACCAACTATATCATGCACTAATTTTTCAAAAATTTATGATCACCAAATACATGCATCATGCATGTAATATGTACACCACAATTTTTTGGATAATAATAGCGATATTATACTAATATTAAGATGGTTCCAAAATATTACAAGTAGTACTTTTATAATGGTCGTTTATTAATCAAAGTTATGTACACACACTTTACATAAATGTAATATTATTTTATGTTCCCTTTTACTAGTTCAATGTATTAAAATATATTTTTTTTCTTTTATTTTTCCAAGTTTACTCTTATCATTAAGTAACCATTTTAAATATTTATAGGAGTACTATTAATTAATATTCTTTAAAAGGATTGCAAAAAATAAATTGCACAAGTAAAAGGGAACGAAGGGATATCGAGTCTCTTAGCTAGGGAAGTGTGTATATGGTGTAAAATAATATATCTTTTTAATTGATTTCTATTGAATTATTCCTACAGTTTTTGCATCTTCACCTCTTAGACGTAATTTAACTAGTTCTAACTATTATCCATTATATTTTAGAGTTGACTCGCCGCAACTCTCAACAAACCATCATTAAACTAGTAAATCATAATTAAGCGACACTAGTAAAGCATAATTAGCTTCAACTAATGTGCATTGAGATTAGATAGCAATACATTTTGAAGTATATGTTATAGTGTCACAACATAAATTTTATCTAGAATATAAATTAAAAGCTTAGTTTGTGTCATATCGAGGCTAATTTGCACATATGTCTATGCTGATTGGGTGGAGCCTCAATTAATATAATGAGAGGCCAACCTTCTCCAACAATTTATGACACATAAATTAAAACTTGATGCACGTCGGTGGTTATATAAAATTCTTATATTTTCCATATTTCAAATAGTAAGACACCGTGATAAAAAAATAGAAAATGTAAGTTAGTCTCAAGTCGTGATGCCTATTGCAGGGGCTGCTATTAGTACGGATGCTAACTCGGAGATATGGTTTTGTAGTTCATTACTAATGTTATTTTGATCTTTTTCATAAAAAATCGATAAAATATATCATTAACGACCTGTAAAATAACATAGAAGATTTAAATCATTTCTATATGGTGAGCTTGCTATAGGGACGACCGAGGAAGGTCTTAATCCCCCCTCCCACCCAATTCTGATACAAAGTCTTTCTTACTTGCACATATTTCTTTATTTAAAAGTTAAATCATTCTTTTCTTAAAGTCAATAAAGAATTTTTGTTATTTTTCTTCAAGTCATTAACAAATTTATTTTGTTATATTAGAGTGCAAGAAAATGGACAAACACATTTGTTAATGGACAACAAAAACACATTAGGATCCGTCGGTAAATTTGAAACTATGCTTTCCCGCCCAAGGCAATTGGTTTTTAATTTAACAAAAATTATATATATATATTACCAACCGGAATAAGCTTTAATCAAAATTTTTCGATCGAGTTCGGTTGGAAATATAATTTTAAAATAATTAAAATATAAATTCGGTTGGTTTTTGTCAACCTTTGTATAAATAGCTTTTAAATAAATAATATTTAATACTTAATTTATATATATATATATATATATATATATATATATATATGTATATATGTATATATATGTATATGTATATATATGTGTGTGTGTATGTATATATGTATGTGTATGTATGTACATAATATTTAATTGACTTATTATCCTAAATTTTAATATTCAATATTGTGATGACCTTTTGGGTCATAGCTTGGTTTAGAAATAAATTCTGTGTTTCGAGGCCTTAAAAATCTCTCTCTGTCTCACCTCGATTTGTGTACGCAGTCCGAACGCGTAGACGGAAAGTCATTATGTGAAAATCTGTAAAAAGAAAATGATATAAAGTGCCTTTAAAATGAATTTAAGTTGACTTCGGTCAACATTTTGGATAAACGGACCCGGACACATAATTTGACGGCTCCGGAGGGTCCGTAGGAAAATATGGGACTTGGGCGTATGCCCGGAATCGAATTCTAAGGTCCCAAGCAAATGAATTTTTAAAGAAAATTATTTTCTGGAATATATATGAGTCTTTAGAAATGAAAATTGTTTGGAAGTTGATGGTATCGGGCCCGTATTTTATTTTCGGAGCCCGGTACAGGTCTTATATGTGATTTAAGTCGAGCCTGTAAAATTTTGGTAAGAAACGGAAGTCGTTTGATGTGATTCGGATCCGTAGTTGTGAAAATTGATATTTTGAAAGTTTTGAGATTTTCTTAGATTTCTATGCTAAATTCGTTGTTTAAGATGTTATTTTGGTGATTTGATCGCACGGATAAGTTCGTATGATTTTTTTTGAGTTAGTATGCATGTTTGATTTGGAGCCCCGAGAGCTCGCGTGAGTTTCGGATAGGTATCAGAAGGTTTTTAAACTTAGAAATGTTGCAAGTTTTCAGCTCTGGTGCACAGGGATATTGTGCTTCGCGTTCGCGTGGCTTCACTAGCGAACGCGGAAGGCAATATCCCTCAGGTGAAAAATTATTCTTCGCGAACGCGGAGCTTGGGACGCGAACGCGAGGCTGTGGGGGGAGTACCCTTCGCGAACGCGTCCAGGCACTTGCGAACGCGTAAGGTTAATGGCCTGGGGGAGGGGTTTCACATTTGCTCTACGCGAATGCGGCCACCCGACCGCGAACGCGAAGGCTCTTGGGGCTGAAGCTCCGCGAACGCGAGCCTGTGATCGCGAACGCGATGGTCAGCTGGGCCTGACCCATCGCGAATGCGATGAAGACCTGTCTAGTTATTTTAAATCAGTAGTAAAAACGGGCAGAACCCATTTACTTCACATTTTCGAAATTTGGGAGCATTGAGGCGATTTTCAAAGAACAATTTCTTCCCCAAAACATTGGTATATGATTCTAAACCTTTTTCTTTCGATCCCATTGCATTTCATCAATTTTCATCCTAAAATCTAGGGTTTCAAGGTAGAAATTGCGAAATTTGGGTAGAGTTAGGGCTTTTTGAATAATTGGAATTTAGACATCGATTTGGGGTCGGATTCCGAAACTAATTACATATTCGGGCTCGTGGGATGAATGGGTGATCGGGTTTTGATTTGAACCTTGTATTTTGACCAAGCGGGCCTGAGATCGATTTTTGACTTTTTGGGAAAATGATAGGAAACCTATAATTTAGCCTTGAGATTTGATCCTTTAGCATTTATTGATGTTGTTAAATTAATTTGGATTAGATACAAGTAATTTGGAGGCGAATTCTAAAGGAAAAGCGGTGTTTTAGGCTTGAGTTGGTCGTGGAAGTTTGAGCCTTTGAGGTAAGTGTTTGGTCTAACCTTAGCTTGAAGGATTAGGAGTCGAGTCCTATTTGCTATGTGTTATTTGTTGAGTATAACGTATAGGCATGGTGACGGGTATCTATATGTCGTTGTCAAGCATGCCCGTGAGTCTTAAATTGAAATCGTTGTGTTCTTAATAAGTATCACAAAAGCCTAAGTTGTTAATTCTCTGTGTTGGGAAAGAATTATGATTATTCTCGTGAAAATTGCCTATGGTTGAGCATTGGTGCTCGTTGAGGTTTCTTGTGAAGTTAAATGTTGGAACAAGTTTGGTTATAGCTGATTCCCTTGCTAGGACGTATTTACTTATACTGTCGATTTCCTTGCCGGGATGTTGTTGTTCCCTTATTGTTCCCTTGTCGGAACTCTTTATGATTGGTGTTGAATTGTATATTGGGACCGGGTTGCATGCCGCAACA